AATATCTGATATCTGATAAATTTTTAAATTTTTAAACACAAATAAAATTTAAATACACAAACGATATTTGGCGATACTTAACGATATGAGTGTTGACAAATCTGAAAAAATAAATAAGATTCAATTATTAACGCTTTCGTTGATTACTCAAAATAAAGTACTTCCATCCATTGAGTTTTTTTCATTGTTAGAGTACTAAATCATTGCTTAAACAATATGGCACATTATCAAGTAATTAAATTTAATTATATAGAAAATGCAGCGTGAACATCGTGGCAAGAGATACAACGGAAACTCTGTGTCATGTTTCGAGGCATTCCTAACCCGATAATTGGGATGAAGTAAATCATTAATAGTAAGGCTATTTAGAAAACCTTCACAGATTAGATATGCTTTTCTGTACAGTACCTTGTTTTCGCTCTATAACTTGAAATTTATTTAATTCTCTATTTCCAAGAACTACTAATTTTTATTACAAAAGCGAGTGGATATTGTTTTAATATAATTAATTGGATATTCGTAATCAATTTTCAACTCGTATAATTTCTTCCTTGGAGTATTTTGAAGTTTACCAATATTGTTTAGGTTTTTAAATGTCTCCATTTATATAGGAAAAAATTTATCTATCTATCAATATGTAAAAATTTACCTCGTGGTGTACATATAAATCTACCATGAGGTGTGTCAACATAATCAAAAATATATAAATGCCCACTTTCATCCTTCCAAATATAATAAGATCTTTTCTTTCCACCGTAGTGAATTTCACCCCACCGTATTTCTAATTAGAAAATTAATTTAATTAAAATTTGTGATCAGTATGTGTGAAACCACTACTACTATTACAAGCTATAAATATTTGCATTATTATATTAATTGTTAAGAATTAATTACCTTATAAACGTGCACAATCTGCAACTATATTCTGATGTAAGTAATGTACATTTTCATGTCTGGTACAATATCGATCTTGTAACGCCGCTTATTCCATCAATAATCAATTCTATGTTATGTAACATGGCATTTACTTTATTAAGAATAAGCAATTATAGTAAATTCAGGTAAAGAAACGAAAAGTATATCGAACAAATCGTTGCTTCGAGTATACTTCCATCATATTTTTTGATTGTTGGAAACATAAGCATTGCTGGAACATTAGAAACAATCAAAAGTAAGACGAAAACGCCTATTAAGTAGCATAATACAAGGAATTCCAGTTGGCCCGGCAAATTTTCTTCTCCTTCGTAGGTGCTTTTCATGTAATGCAGAAAAATTTTTTTTCTCTTCAGTATCGAAAATTGAAGAGCGACGTAGATATTAATAATAAGAATCACTATATGCATTTCTATTCCGTATTTACCGTATATGTGGATAGTTCGGTGGCAAACGAAATTTTCGTTGAAAATTATAACAAATAGAAAAAGGGAGGAGAACCATAAAAATGATTCAGTTTCCTTTACGTAAAAGCCGTAAAATTTTCCTGTGTGATTTTGTGACGTTTCATAATTTTGTTCCTCAAAACAAATGCATTTTTCAAACGGTTCGAGTCCAAAGACTTTCGTAACAGAAAATATTGCATGGAAATTATAAATTGGACAACGATTGCCTTGTGTCCACAAGTGATTTTTGTTCTGTCTTTTGCTAAACGTGTCTATTTTTCGAAAACTGCTGATGAATTTCGAAATGTTGTTACCCATTTTTACATTCACTGATATTTTATAACCATTAAACAAATACAATCAATTAATGTTTTGTTGTTTCAGATTTCGTCATTGTTTCTATTTACACGATTAAAATTATTCAATTATTTATGTAACAAGAGGGTTGCCTGTTGCATATTCATATATATTGTTGTTGTTTTTTTTGAAAACTTAGGTAAACATTTATTCTCAATGATATTTTATTTAAAGATTATATATTATGTATGATCGTATGTTTAATTAATTTTACTTTGGACGATATACAACGTTGATTTTGCTGAACATTGCTTGAGTTCGGATACTTTCTTCAAATTAGAGTCTATTTCATATAAACTTCATGACAATAAATTCTTGTCTAAAAAAGGAAAAAATTAAATTAACGTTTTAAGTTAAATAATTGTATGTAAGTTTTTTGAATGAAATCGCGAGTTTTTTTAGTGAGTAATATTTGTGATTTATGTATTTCTATCTCAATGCTAAATATCGTAAATACGATGTGTTCTGTATGAATTTCTTATAATTTTTAGTATTAAGCATTCACATTTTCAAATATGATCACATTTTTCTTACTATCTGATTAAATTTTTATATTCTATTAATACGACGTAGGTATTTCACGCTGCTGTAGTATATTTTGTATTAATTTTATATCATTTAAATTTATTTAATTGTTATAAAAAATTGGAGTAATTTGTCCAGTGAACAAATGAATATTAAATCAAAACTGATATGCAATAACA